AGCCAGCACGAGTAGATGATCTGACCAAGCTCGTGTATAATCATAGTGCTCGCCAGGACACTGCACAGGCTCTGACCCCATCGTGAGACGGGGCTATGGGCCCTTCTGGTAGGTGGAAAACTGATTCGTGCCATACAGTGAACCCGAACGCACACGAGCCACCGAGCTTGCAGATCATCGAGGACCCCGCCGCAGCCGTGAGCCCAACGAGCCTGTGTTCCCGCCAGGGCCTGTGCTCAGAGAAGGCGCCCCCCGCCCTGCGCACCATCGGGCTACCGAACGCCATCAAGACGCACGGGCGGTCACAATTAGGTCGGTCATGTCCCCCTTCAGGCGGATTTCTGACGAAAAATAAACCATACTCCGCGAAGGCTTCAAACTTACACAAACATAGCCCCAGAATATTCCCCCTGTAGAGGGACAAGCCCGACTTACGGTTACAACGACACCTTGGGCACGACCGCTCCTTGCCAGACCCCCAGAGAGGCTGCCTCTGGGCCGCGTATGGCCCGCGCAAGAAACATCTCTTTGGAGGGGCATCTCTCACTGCCGCCTGCCTCCGCCTCCCTTTCGCCGGCGTCCGTTTGCGGAGCCGCCCTCGCTTCATGCCCGACAGCTTCTGCAAGGGGCGAGAAGTCGTGCTTCTGCAAGGGGCGAGAAGTCGTCCCTTCGATCTCTCGCTGACGAAGCGCGTTGCGGAGCTGGCCACGTGGATGTGCAGGCATGCTTTGCAATTCCATTCGATCGACTTGATCACCTCGCCTCGCCAATCGCGCCGCGCGAAGCGCCACTGCGTATCATGCGCCCTCGCGCGACGCCAGTGTCCCAGGCCGCGAGGCGCGAGGGGCGGTGAGCTTTACACGCCGCCTCCATCTGGGCCGCCCAGGTGTGAACAGACGAGATCAACCATGAGGATAGGTACAGTCAACCCGTATCATACGGATGCGCAGCGAGGATGCAAGGGCCTTGGAGGGACATGTTGACGTTTTTCGAGCGAGGTTGGCCAGCGACAGTCGCTAAGGATGGCCGAAGGGGCAGGGATGCAAGGGTACCCCTCGGAAGATTGCCCATCCTGACTCTGCGGGTTGACCGTACGTCGGGATGCAGGGCACCGACGACGCACCAGCCTGCCAGGGCACCCACTGGAGCCGGGAAGACAGACCGCACGCAGGGCGTGCCCCGCACCGAGGGGTGCGACAGCGTGCCTCGAGGTGCGCCGAAGGGGGAGCCAGTGCCGACCCAAGAGGCCCGCGCGGGCCCGCGGAGGCTTCCGACCACTCCACCCGCCCCCCTCGCCTCGCTGTACCCCTCCCTGCTCCCCTGTTCTCGCTTCAACCTGCCCTCCTCCTCCTGTCCCTTCCTGTCCCTTCCTCCCTCCTCCTCCTCCCTCGCTCCCTCGCGCACGCCGCCTCATCTCCCTCTGCTCCTGCTTCCCCCCAATCCTCCCTCGGCCTCCTTCTTCGTCGTCTCTCCCACTGCTCTTCCTCATTCCTCCTCGTTCTCCCCTCCTCCTTACTCCACCTGCATCGCACATCCCTCTCCGCCCGCTCTCCCTCTACCATCCCTCCCTCCTCTTCTGTTCCAAACTTCCCCTATCCTCCCTCCTCCTCCTCCTCCTCCTCGTCCTCCTCCTCCTCCATTCCAACCTTCCCCTATCTCCCTCCCTCCCTCCCCCTCTGCTCCACCCTTCCCCTGCCCCCCTCCTCTCGATTCATTCCTCATCCTCCTTCCCCTGCTCCTACTCGCCCAACCTCCCTCCTCATTCCTTCTCCTCCTCCCTCCTCGTAATACTTCCTCCTTATCATCCCTTGTGGTCGTGGATCTCCTCCTCCTCCTCATCATCATCACCATCACCCACCACCATAACTATCACCATCAACGTCACCATCACCGTCACCGTCACCACCACCACCATCATCATCACCATCAGCATCATCATCATCAGCATCATCATCATCATCATCATAATCATCATCATCATCATCATTATCATCAGCATCACCACCACCATCATCACCATCACCATCAGCATCATCTTCATCATCATCATCATCATCATCATCATCATCATCATCATCGACATCGTCATCATCATCATCATCATCATTATTAGCATCATCGTCATCATCATCATCAGCATCATCATCGTCATCATCACCATCGACATCATGATCATGTTCGTCCGCCTTCTCCTCCTTATCATCATCCCTTGTGGTCGTGATTCTCCTCCTCCGCCTCATCATCATCAGCACCATCACCCACCACCATTACCATCACCATTACCGTCACCGTCACCACCACCATCATCATCACGATCATCATCCTCATCAAAATCATCATCAGCATCACCACCACCACCAGCATCAGCATCATCATCATCTTCATCAGCCTCATCATCATAATCAGCATCATCGTCATTATCATCATCATCATCATTATCATCATCATCATCAACATCGTCCGCCTCCTCCTCCTCATCCTCATGCTACTCTTCCTTATT